GTACGTAACACTTGATAATCTTGTTTACTTGTTTTAATTAACTACACAACCTTATAATGATCTAAACATAGTCATTAGCATTTTCCCTTCGTCTTCTTAAGTTATACGTGTGACCATTAAACCTTTAATTTATTTGTAATATCTAAAGTGTCGTTCAAATTCATGCATTTCTTCATTTGCACACTTGGAAAAATGTAAAATGATAAAGTTCGTCACGTCAAGTTTCCCAATTTAATCCACATAAAATAGAAATCGTGTTCGTCTAAATTTTTGAACCAAGTAACGTACAAGAACTCATAATCAATTTCAAATTTAATGAAATATTAAGGGTCTGTTCAGTAGTGATTATTAAAATTAATTTTTTTGATCGTTAGAAAAGAAAAATATGTCACACTTGTGAAAATGTCAAAAATAAAGGTTAAAAATTTGATTTTTTTGGGTGAAAAATTGCTACCAAATGGGACTAAAAATTTATTGGAGGGACAAAAGATTGTAAATCTGCCCTCCATGCATAGAACAATGGAAAGGAATATTTGGAGTCGAACTCAAACTTTTTATAATTATTAAGGTTAATTAGTGGCACGTAAATTAAGTAATGCATTAAAGAAGGAAGTTAGAGGTTTCTTAACGAACGGGCGATGAATTACTTTACTTGTACTCGAGACTTTGTTACACCTCTTCTTCAATCCACATTTTCTATTTAAAAATATTTTATGTCACTTTCTAGGTTGCTTGCTTAGTTAAAGCTTAAATTAATTGACGAATTGAGCCCAACTTCATTTTTTCTCAATTTTTTTTTTTTAAGATTAATTTCCAATCACACATTTTTCATAAAATAATTTTAAAATTTCCTTTTTTTAACTACATATTCTTTAAAAAATCATTATTTCAAAACCTGTTTTTCGCAAAAAAAAGGAGCTCAAACGGGTCTAAAACTAATATTTACCCAAATAACAAAAAGTACGTATTATTTAATCCCTTGACGATGAATTATGGCATACTTAAACATCCTTTGGAAATTTTTCCCCCCCCCCCCCAAAAATTATAATTCCGTTGTAAATTAATGCTGTTTGATCTCATTAGCGCGTTTTTTGCAGCTTAAAAAATTGATAAAAATTTATTGATTTTAACCACTTTTAATGGGACTCACGATTTTTATCAACTTTTTAACCACACATTTTTATCAACTTTGATCTTTAATAAATAAAAATTGTAAATTTTATGAATGCAGTCATGTACAATAAAAAAATGAATTTGAGAAAAAATAAATTTTAGAATGAGGATCAAACATTATGTTGTTTATAAATTATGTCCAACATGACATGACCATGTTATCTTGAAATTAGAAATGTCATAAATAAAAATTTTTGAACATAGGTTTTTATGTTCCAATTGTGGACCCTACCAAAGGGAAGGACTTGTTAATTTTTTAAGAAAATAAAAAAGATTCGTCAATTATATATTTGAAAAAAAGGGGGATTTATATTAGGAAAATAATGTTTTGGAATGATTTTTCAACTTGAAGGTCAATGAAAATCAAGGTTGTTGACATTTTTATTCGAATTAAGTTGAGTTGACCGAAAATTATCGACAGAAGTCTTGACATTCTCTTATATGAGTGTGAAACTTGTGTGAATAAAAAAATTTCAAAAAAAAATGGCATCCAGCCCATATTGTGAGTGCTCGGTTAGGGAAGTTGTCAACTTCTTCGTGTCAGTATAGCAAAGTTATTTTTATTCCTTTTTTCTTTTTAAGTTGTCTTTATCTATATGTTTGGTAGTAATATTAAACTAGATTAATAGTATAATAATAAGATTTTAACTTTATTTTATTATACAATATGTTTAATATAATTATTATGGAACATGTCACAAATGATACAAAGTCAAATACAAAATCATTTTTGAGTTCTCCTCTACTATATAACAACAAAAAATCTGCATGCATGCGTTGAACTAGTCATGTTTTTTATACAATAGACTTATAGGTAAATGAAAAAATAAATAATGTATGAACTATAAAATTTCATTTATATGACGTATTTATGTCCACTTATTATTAACATTTGTTATAATTAGGAGACTTGCTACATTGACAAAGTTTGGGGACCAGGCCTGTGACTGAGGCTGAGTCACCTCAACCCAAGGCCTGTTCCCAAGCTCTGTCCATTTAGCATAAATGTATAATTATGGTCCGCTTGATTGTAAAGATGAAATTAAATTGAATTGAAAATGAATTCCAGAGAATTGAATTGTCTAAAAATTGTTTTCCTGAAAATTGTAAATTATTGTGTTTGATTGGTATAATTTTCCATTTGAAAAATGTTGAAATAAAAGTGTTTTTTGATATTCATTTCGCTTTATTTTACATGAAAATTGTCAATTAAAGAGATAAAATTTAGTGGTATTGGGTATGAAATTTGTTTCCATTGCCAACAAAAAAAATCAAAAAAATCATATATCTTTTGATATTTGTTTGACTTTATTTTAGATGGAAATTGTCAGTAAAAGGAAAATATTTTTTTACAATAATTCTTAATATTTATTTTCATTGCCAAAAAAAAAATAGAAAAAAAATTTAAAAATCGCTACAGTGACCGGGAATTCCAATTATTCCATGATTCCATGGAAAATGCTGACATGGCAAGAGAGTGAGATTTCGATTCCATTAAAATTTTGGACAATCAAATAACCAAAAGTTGGAAAATGAATTCCATTTTCCATGCAAAAAGTGGAGCAATCAAACACTACCTTAGGGTAAAGTAAGTGGCCACTGACTAGCTCAACAACTCTATGTCACGTTTAGCTCTTTTGATGCGAGAACAAATTTAAATTCAAAAGCAGTTACAAATTTTTTTTTAAAAGAATCCCATAAAATGGCAAATCGAAATGAAAGAGCCAATATAATATTCCCAACTCAAATCGGGATTGGGCATGTATCAATTGTTCTTCAACCTTGCTACACTGATCAAAGTCCTGGTCGAACACTCACAATAGGGAGTGGGGTCACATTTTTGAATTTTTTTCATGTGAGTCCCGCACGCATTTGAGAAGATGTAAAAGCATCTGTCACCGATTTTCTATCAGTTAAGCTTTATACATTGTTCTTTGGGTAATATGAGGAGAATGTAATCATTCATACATGGTGGAAAGGAATAAAGTAGTTTTTTTTTTTTTTTTTTAGGAAAATACATTTTGAAATAGTATTTTGATGAAGAATATGTTGTTAAAAAAATAAAGAAAAGTTTTTCGATTTACGTATAATATTATTTTCTGAGATTGGTTGAGGACCCTGATTTTTCACTACAATGATGGAAAGCAAATATAAATATCACTTAATATTTTAACGAGTTTTGCATGCAAAATTCCCATTGTAATAATTATATATATTTTATTATACATCTAACATGCAAATAAATAAATAAATAAATAAATATAAATATATATATATATATATATATATATACTGTAGTTATAAAACGGTAAATAAAAATAAAAATAAAATATGGCAATCGTTATCCACGAGGAGAGGTACTTGTATATCCAAACATCCAAAAGCAGATAATTTTTACATCTCTCTTGTAAATGAAAAAAATTATCTATTAGTCCTCAAAATTGTTCTAGTAACAACATGACCCTTAACATTTTATTATATTGCACCTTCAGATTCAATGATAAAAATCATCAATATCTTTATTAAATTATTACACGATTCTTATGAAAATATGTTCTTCTTTAAAATTTAGACACCAATTCAAGTTGAAAAATAAAATCTAGCTTCATATTAGAGAGTATTTTTGGAAATTGATAGTTGAAAATGGGCCAACTCTTTTATATTTTCTAAAATTAGCATTGACCAATCATCAAGACTAAATTATATATAAATTGGATCATGGCTCGATCTTATGAGATAGTTGGATTGGTCTACAATTGATCCCATGAAAATCATGGATTTCACCTATAACAACGATCTAGTTCTTACAAGTCAGTCAATTCAATTCAATCATGGATTTCAATATATATATATATATATATATCAATTCATTAGTACACAATAAATGTATTTTAAATGTTGAGATCCACCAAATCTTTATCCTCTAATGAAATAATACGACATATCAATGATGCTTAGTATAAAATAAGCATCGATGCTAATAAGAAAATCTAACAAGAAAAATAGTCAAAATGTAGTCTTACTGAAAGGAAAAACTCCACAAACTAGTATCATTATTTCGTGATCAATAATCTAGTAAATATAGCTTTTTAATGCAAAAAAAAGACTTTGAAAATCCATTCTAGAGTCGCTCCATCGATCAGGACACTTAGAATAGCTCGTATCAATCACTTTCACTCTTTTCATTAGACTAGCTATAGTACTCATTGCTACAACTTTAACTCGATTATTTCTAATTATTGTTGTACCTTATAAGTTACATTAATTGCTTGACCAACAATATCTCATTAAAACATCTAGTATCAAGCCAAGTTTTTTAAAAGTGTGGAAACTTCATAACTAGAAGTAGTAGCATTAATTCCTATAATAACAAAAAAAATATGTCAATTTATTATTTTTCTTTTTTACGAAAGTGATCGAATTCAAGAAAAAGATTAGATAGCACGGCATAAGAATATGCTTATTATGAATCAAACATTTTCAATAATAACAAAATCCAAATTTTTTTTATAATAATCATCTAATGTCGACCCATCAATCCACTAATGACCAAGCAACTTGGTCAAGTTGGATGTGAAAATTATACTCTTCTCAATGTTCAAATAAGAATAATAGAACAAATATCGATGGATATAAGATAGCTAGTCTTAGGACTTTCGATGTAAATTTAAAGGCTAAGGATCACTAGCCATGGAGACAATAGATCTGGGGACTAATGGTACAAATCTAGATAGAGAGAGATGGGAGTAGGCGGACGTGAGGTTTCTTGTAGAAGCATACAGGGGTTTTCGAGAAAACAACAAAACAATGAGAACAGCTAAGCCTAACCCTTTTTCTCTTCTTTGATTTTTCGAATTCCGTGTCAAGCAAGCATCCATACCACACACCACACATGTACATTTCTTTACTCCTCGCTCAAACCAAATCCCAAAATCCCATCCAATTATTTTCTTTCTTTAAAACTTTGCTTGCCTTCTAATCTAACTTCATTTTCAAGCTTTCTGTCAAACCCACCATTATAACTTATCTTTTTTTACTTTGTACTCATCTGGGATTTAATTTATGTGTTGAGTTTTGAGTCTGATATTTTTTTGTGGGAGCACCAAACTCCCTAAAATTTTTGGTGTTCATCCTTTCCTTTCGAGGGGAATTATATCTGGAATTTTAGATGGGACAAGAGGTGGTGGCAGCGGGGGTGGGTGCAACACCGGCGAAGACGGTGGCGCCACCGCCAACGCCAACTTCTTTGGCACCGGGATTCAGGTTTCATCCGACGGACGAGGAGTTGGTGAGGTACTATCTGAGGAGGAAGGCATGTAGGAAGCCCTTTCGATTTCAAGCTGTTACTGAAATTGATGTCTACAAATCTGAGCCATGGGAGCTTGCTGGTACTTATATTCGTACGTAAATTTTCCCACATATATTTATTAAGAGATGTATTTTATATATTCTTTGCCGATTTTATTTGGTTGGATAAGATTTTTCATTTTTGGTTAACTATGGGTTTATAGGTCAGGAGCAAATTTTTAGTTCTTTGTGGATTCAGAATTTCTTTTAATTATTTCATTTATGATTATTTTGGGCTTTTGGGTGTGCAATTTATTTACGACTTCAATAATGTAGATTACTTGTGCATTTGTATGTTGCAATTTGATGAGCTAATGATGGGATTTTTGAAATTATAATATGGTAAAAATGATAAATTAGGCTAAAGATGAGATTTTCAGAACTTGCATATGATAAAAATGATAAATTAGTGGGAGTGGAAAAAAGGATGTATAGACAGATATTTAGATATGAATGCCTGCATCTATAGTTAAGCGTGTACGGGTGTGCGAATTAGTGATCCAAGAGTTAACTTTGAGTATCTTTTGTATTAATATGATTTAAATTTTGTATACTAAGTTCGTAGCCTGTCATTAGATTCTCCCGTGTGTTTACCGTTTACCTCAAATTCTACTTTTTCCTTGGTTTCTCTTTTGTCCATACGTAATTCTTTTCCGATCTTTCTAATGAATAGTCGTGTCGTGATTTTTACTTTGAAGAATATGCATCCCTGAAGACCAGAGATCTAGAATGGTACTTTTTCAGCCCTGTGGACAGAAAATATGGTAATGGATCTCGGCTGAATCGTGCCACTGGCAAAGGGTATTGGAAAGCAACTGGAAAGGATCGTCCTGTGCGCCATAAAAACCAAACCATTGGAATGAAGAAAACCCTTGTTTTCCACAGCGGACGAGCTCCTGATGGCAAGAGAACAAATTGGGTAATGCATGAATACAGGCTTTGTGATGAAGAATTAGAAAGGGCTAGAGTAGCACAGGTGTGGATGGCTATGATAAAATTTAAAGTTGGTGCATATTTCTTTTTCTTTGTTGAAAGTTATGGATCTTAAAAGAAATTCCTCTTTGTCCTTTTTTGTGGGAAAAGGATGCATTTGTGCTCTGTAGAATCTTTCAGAAGAGTGGTTTAGGACCGCCAAATGGGGACAGATATGCCCCTTTTGTTGAGGAGGAATGGGATGATGATGCAGCTCTTGTGGTTCCTGGCATAGAGGTTGAAGATGATATGCCGAATGGTGATGAAGCACGAGTCGAGGTCAATCACCTGAACCAGGTTTATTTCTGCTTCTTTCTTTCTTTTCTCCGGCAAAGATATTTCTAGGTGTTACGCACCACGCAGTTCCTTTCCATTATGGTAATCGTCTTGTTTCCTGTATTTTGTTTCATATTCTGTAGTTCACATCCTTCATGCATATAACCCCATTTTAGTTGCAAAATTTTGTACTCAATGAAGTTATTATTTTTGCATGCTATATTATTGTTCCTTTTGATTGCAAAGAACAAGAACCGAGACAAATGAGTTATCATATACTGAATTGCAAGGCATCTTTTCTAAGTTTTTGTTCATTATGTTTTGCTACTTTTGGTAGTATTGAGCTGCACGTTAGATTTTAAGATGGAAGAAGAAATCCTTGTCAAGGAATCATAATACCGCATAGTATATGTGTATTTTGTTTCCGCATAAACTGTAAATAGAAAAAATATTCAAACTCGACTGTTAAAAGTAGTAAGAATACTTTGGATAACAAGACTTCCTTGACTCATTGTCCAAGTCTATGGACCTGTAGCCTACTCAGTGAAGTTCGAGGGAACACGGTCCCTGCCTTTCTGTAATACTAGTTGTTGGAAATTGAAGATAATGCTTCAGTAGAATAAGATTAAACAGTCGAGTTTGATTTCAATCTGATTAGGTATGATTTAACTAAGATTTGTTGATTAATTTTAATAAGTTAAGATTTGATGTTTCGTAAAGTTGTGATATATTTAAGTTCCCTTATTCTGTCAAGTTCTACGAGACCATTCTTTTCTCAATGCACGAGGGGAACATGACATGGATATCTCTACTTTGAGGTGGAATACACCTACTACTTATCCTCTTTTTGTCAACTACAGTGTGACATTTCCGTGGGCGTCTGTTCATACATGGAAGCGAGCGTCTTGACAGTCTATTAACACTAGGAAGTAGCTTTGTAATATCTTAAATTTGCAAACTGTGGACGAGACTGTTTTGCACTACTTTATTTAGATGTTGATATTCTTACACTCATCACTACTGGGTCTATGGTTAAGGATTGGGATGTCAAAGTCCCCCAGTGTAATCAGATGACTCACTAATTCTATAGTACTGTGGCATTAGCTCAGTGATAAATGCTTTTTAAGTTATAGGCAGTAAGTATCCTAGATGTTCTTTCTTATAGCTTTACTATTGTTATATGAACTCGGACGGTAAATTGAAACCATTTGATGATCTCATACTGCAAAGTCTATCATCACTGAAGTGACTAAGAAAATGAACTGTTATTTTTCCACGTTTGATTCTAAGAATGCCCATTATGGACTACATTGACAAATTTGCTGCAACTAGCAGGCTTCTTGCTTGGATTGCAAAGTCAATTAGTTCCTGACTTTAAATTCTCTTCGAAAGTTTAGGAGTAAGATGATGTTGCTGCTGCATATTTTCCTTCCACAAGTGTTTAGTTCTTTATTCATCTGAGAAAGCGAGCTTACATGACAGCAATACTTATAATTGATAATAATGTAGGTGACTTTTGAAAGTTGTTAGTAGATCAAAACTTTTTGACGTATATAATTTGAGATTCTTCTGTTATTATTATCGGCCTGTCGTCAATAGCTTTCCGGAATGTTAATACATTTTTACTTAATAATGCTTTCAAACTTGGCTTGACTATGGGTATTCCATCTTTCGACATATTTGTACTCAAATTTTGCTACAGGATTCTCATCCTCTCAGCATGGCTCCTCCCCAAGTCGAAAATCAAATTGAGCTGCAGTCTCTCCCATTTGCTTGCAAGAGGGAAATATCTGAAGAAGATCCTGAACTTTCTTTATCCCAAAGCAAAAAATTGAAGCATGATGATCCTCACTCAAGTCATGCTAATGGATCCGAAGATTCAACGACGACAAGCCATGATCCCTCAAAAATGATGATGACGACAATTCCTTTATTAGAACCTGTAGAACCCAAAGAAAATAATCCAGTCAACTCGCTTACCTTCGATTCTTCTAACCTCGAGAAATCTGTGCCTCCAGGTTATTTGAAATTTATTAACAATTTGGAGAACGGAATCTTGAATGTCTCCATGGAGAGGGAGACGCTGAAAATCGAAGTGATGAGGGCCCAAGCAGTGATCAACGTTCTTCAATCCCGTATCGAGATTTTAACTAAAGAAAACGAGGACTTAAGACGACATCATGTGCAGGAGGGCTAGATAAATGTGGCACCTGTGTATTCTAGTTTTGCAGTTTTGCTTGCTCAATCCCCTTGTACTGAACTGATAGCATCTTGGATCGAATCTCAGAACAGGGTAAGATCGAGTAATGGCATCTCGAGACATATAGCTGTTTATTATGGAATATTTAGTAGTTGTTTAATGTAGTTTTAACGAATGCATCCGTCGAAAATGCTTGTCTCAATCGAACTCTTTCGAATAAAGTTGAGACTGTACACTTTTGGTGTTTTTATTTATGTAATTGACTGCTTGCTTCATCCGGAAAATATGAAATAATTCATGCGGTTGCTCCTCAAGAGGTGTTTTTCACTAGGAGACGTAGTCCCTAGTCATGGACTATTTATAATTTAAAATAGTCAAATATATTTTGTAGGATCCACGCCATTCACTTATTATTCATACATTCTTTAAAATTCACAATTTAAAAGGAGTCGAAATAATTTTGAAAATCTTAGACAACAAGTCGATTCTATTGTAAGAAGGATTAAAATACACGTATACAAAGTTATGTTTACTTTGTATCAGAAGCTTTTGATCCGGTTTGAATCCTTAGTTGAGGGTCATTAGATGATTGTTTGTACATCTTATTTTTGTTTATCCGGGTATGCTCTGTGTATATGTATTTCTTACTTGATCTTGGATTTGTCCGTTGTACTTGTAAATGAGTTTTGATCTATCAAATTTTACATTTACTGATCAAAAATAAAAAATAGAGAATCATCCTTTATCGGATTGAAATATTCACCACGAGCTCTTGAGGCTCCTCTCGAGACGATAATAGGTCAAGGTAAGTGCTTTTTAGCACTAGTCATACTCTCTTAACATATCATCAAGCTAAAGAGGTCAAAATTATGTATTAACGTCCTCGTTTATCTTGCACAAACTAAGCTTTAATACCAAATTTATTAACATTTTTCTATAACTCAAAACATCCTACTAAAAATTATAGATGGCCATGTAACAATTTCATAAAATTTCCCTTTTTAACATAGATGCATATCCTCCGCCGATCGCATAATCTCGTTATTACATTTTTTCGGATCACCCTCCTCAGTATTTGATGATCAAACTTAAGTTGTCGTGTCTTTCGTTTCTTGAAGATTGTAGAGATTTTGGGTTTGGAAATACTATGGATGAAGCTAAACAAATGGGAATTGAGGATGTATTCTAGGAAAAAGTATTGTGTGAAGAAAGAAGAAATTGATGAAAGTGGAAATATTGAGGTAAATCGACTAGCTAAAGAATGTTTAAGAGTTGATTACTTCTTCTTTATAATTGATCAAGCTCGATGTTGACCTCGAACTCGTGTTGAACAATTTAAGCAATATAAAGATACATTTAATTTATCTTTTTTCCAAATAATTTGGAGGTATTAAGACATGCGACTATTACTAGTTCATTGAAGTCTTATGAGTAACTTCAGCATTAATTGAAATATAATAGACGTTCAGAAATTAATGGAGATGATTTGTGTTCGTGGTTAACACTTTTGAAGTGCTATTTACCATGTAAAACAAAAAGAGCAATTAATTTGCTACATTATTTAAAGAAAATGGATGGTTATTTTTCAAATACTTATATCGCTTATAAAAATTTGCAAACCATATCAATTATAGTTCCATATGCAGAAAGAAGCTTTTTTTCAAGTTGAAGTTGATGGAAACATATTTTCAATCAGTTATGTCACATGAAAGATTGAATAAATTAGTTGTGTTATCGATTGAGAAAGAAATAATTGAACAACTAGATTTGCAAAATTAATTAATGTTTTTGCCTATAAAATCATAAGACAGTTATTTAACTAAACGTTGGAAATATTTTTGGCTCTATTATTTGATGATAATATTATTATTTTGAATATCACATTTTATTTATCGTTTTATTGTTGAATTTTAAGTTAACATTTAACTCCGTAAAATTGAGTGATGAACTTGGTTTATGTTTTCCTGAATAGTTGTGTTACATGTACATAATAAATTTGCATACATATGAGATGGTAAAATATAATTGGATCATATTTTTTTTAACCAAATAAAGGAAAAAAAAATAAAAAATCTCTACTCTCTTTTTGACACATCATCTATATAAAATAATTATTTAATTAATTATGTACAAGTAGTGTTATTCTTTCTTGGCTTATACAACAATACTTCGTAGGATGATTTATTAGGTACGAGTAAGCAAGTACAATTCGGGTTTATGGCCAAATTACATTAATATTAAAGAGAATTATTGTTACGCATCTTCACAAGAAGCACCAGTGGTCTAGTGGTAGAATAGTACCCTGCCACGGTACAGACCCGGGTTCGATTCCCGGCTGGTGCACATTGCGATGATGATAATTGCGCCCAATGCGACAGTGGGTCTGTTGCCTTTCCTGATCCTTCAGGTAGAAAATGTGGCGTTTCTGAGCTTCCTACCATTTTTTATTAAATTGCGTTTCGTTTTTCCTTTCCTTGCCCCCGTTTCCCTGTTTTACGTTTTTTATCTAAGTTTTTACTGTCAAAAAAAGGGGCAGCGGCTGAGGAGCCCATTTAGGTAAAAAATTTTATAAGCCTATATAATAAAGAGGGAAAATTTCATAAGTGAGGGATTAAGTATACTAGATTTTAGAATAAAGAAAATAAGTTTCAAAATTCAGATTTTTATTAAACTTTATTTATGATTTAATTATTTAATTAATTTAATATATTTAGGTCACAGTTATCTAATTAATTAGTCACGAATTAATTTTTAGTCACAACTTATCAAATTATTGGTCGTAACTTATTTCTCGGTCACAGATCGAAAATTTTATAGGTCACAGAATATTTTTCGTTCACGAATTTTTGGTCACATTTATCTAATTAATTAGTCACAAATTAATTTTTAGTCACAGCTTATCAAATTATTGGTCGTAACTTATTTACTCGGTCACTAATTAATTAGTCACAAATTAATTTTTAGTCACAGCTTATCAAATTATTGGTCGTAACTTATTTACTCAGTCACAGAATGAAAATTTTATAAGTTACAGAATATTTTTGGGTCACGTATTCAAAAATTTTACAGGTCACAAATTATTTATCGATCACATATTTAAAACTTTTATTGGTCACAATTCATATACTCATTGCAAATTATTGAATTAATTGATCACGATTAACTTTTCGATCACAACTCAATCAATTGTGAGTCACAATCAGAGGTTGCAATCACAATTACCAGATCACATATCCAATTATTAATAGCAATTACGTAGATAATTGGTCACAACCATTCAATCCATCCCACTCCGACCACCACCTCCACATAAACACCAAATCCGCCTAGATTGGCCACCACTGCCACCTCACCACCGTCGAAAACATCTCCACCACCTCCATCACCGCTGCCAACATCACAACCACACCACCGACACAATACCATACGACAGCCACCGGAAAAACCATGCCATCACCGCAACAACCTAATCAGATTTCAAAACCATCGCAAAATAGATCCAAAACCACCACCACGCTGCCACTGCCTGCACCACATCCAACAACAACCAAAAAATAAAAAAATCAGCCACTGCACCTCACGCCACCGCCACCGCACCGTAGCCACCGCAACCTAACCTCGCAGCATCACTTCCTGCTTCACACCGCAACGAGGTTGGACCGCTACAAACGCCGTCAATGGTGAGGCGATGGAGCTGTCTGTGGAAAGTGATACGAGAGAGGGAAGATGAAGCAAAAGAGAGAAGGGGTGATCGGCATCGGAGATGATGATGGAAGTGGTTGATTGGGGTCATCTCGCTATGCGCGACGACTCTTCTTTCAACGCATCGTCACCGTGAAGTGAGAGGCCTGTAATGGCGGTGGCAGTGTCATGCTACTTCGTGCAGCTTCACTCCGATGGGTTATTTTTCTGCAGAGATATGCAACCATATACAGAGAAAGAGGGGCTGAGACATGAGATTAGAGAGAAAGGGTGGGGGAGATATAAATTAGGGTTTGTAAACTTCACCTATGATTTAATTATTAATATTTAAAATATATTAATAAATTAAAAAAAATCTGATATCTAAAATAGTAAACTTCACCTATGATTTATGAATTGAGATCTCTAAATCTATTAGTTTGTGTAATTTTCACTAATAAAAAAGGACCATGCTACACAAACATAATGATTGACATGCGGGATGATTGAACACTCACACCTTGAGGGTCGGGCATTATTTTATTCACGCAAGGTCCACGCTCCATGTGAGGGTCGGTCACCCATTTTCGAACACTTCGGCATTATTCAAAAAAAAAAATTAGAACCCCCTGGCTCTGCTCCCAAATAGGTAGTAATCAAATTGAAGCAAGGAATGGATGAAGACAAATTGAACATGTTTGGTTTGTAGTTGTACTCAAAAATCAAACTTGGTTTACTAAACATGATTATCAAGTTAAAACTAAATAACTTTAAGCGCAATTGAGCTGAACATTAGGTCAAATCAACAGATTCATTCTCATTTAAATTGGGTCAATTATACAATGGTACAATAAGGGATAAAACTAAGTTATACATAGGATAATATATCAAAGAATCGATTTGAAAATAAATCGTACATCAGATAATTAAGAATTACAAACAATAAAAATAAAAATTGTTAAACTCAACACTCATGGAGCCCCACCCCGCACTAAGTAGGAGATTACCCGCCTAATCAGGTAAGCAGGACAAGGACGAAAGTTGTTGACTTGAGGGGGGTTACTTGTCTTAATCTTTCGTTATTTAACCTATCTAGTATCCAATTATGGTTTATGATCAAATTAACTAACTTAGTAGATTTCAATGAGATTAAAGAGTCGAAATCCCGATTCCATCTAAATTAATCCAATTTAATTGTGCAAATCAATGTTATGACAATTACACAATCTTTATGGTCAGTAAAACTTCTCTGTAGTAATTGATTGTCACTCTTGAGCAAAACTAATGTTACCTAGTTAAAACAAGATTGCCCTGTTTGAGCCTCATTATTTCTTCATTAAAATGAAAAATATGATCGTTATTTATCACATCAAATCACCATATTTAACTTTTTATCTTTTGTGTGGGGTCCATAACGACTATATTTTTCATTATCATTTTTATAATAATGTGGCTCAAAGGGGGGCTATTATATATCCTTTATGTAAATTCAAGTGTAACTAAATGCATTATAAAGAGAAAATTTCAAAAAATGACCACATAAACCATATGAGCATATTTCTATCTCTAATACAAACCTATGTAGTTGACTTCATTACTTAAAAAATGGGAAGGGATAACGTAGAATTTGCTACACTCAATGCAAATCGTATGCATGCTTATGATATGCGTATGGATTGCTTTAAATAAACAATATTTTTCAATATGTATTCCATTTTTCTTCAATTTCTTTAAATAAAAAAAATAAAAAAACTCTTTAGCTTTAACATTATGATTATACTTAGTGTATCATGTAGCCAATAAAAATACAACGGACAATTATTATTTGAAACCATCAACATTGGTTGGGGTGGGCTGGTCCCTTGCGCCCTTTTTTGTTTACATCTTTCATGACATAAACATATTTTCTCTTAACAAAAACATTCGAATGCATATCATTTTAAAATATTCATTAGCTCATTGACATTAGAGAACTTTTTATTTCTTCGAACTTCAAACATGCATATGATGCATTGACATACACGAATATATCACGAGAAACATTAATATCATAAAACGTAATAATCCAATATTATGTTCATATAATAACAAATTTTGCACAAACAAAAGTCGGTTTGAGGGTCCAAATACTAAAATTGAAACAATAGAGATGTTTTGCAACAATTATCCGTATTTGACGTAAATGACTAACTTCACACGAAAATGTTGAAATGAGGAATGTAAATATCAAGTTTGAAATAATAATGACGATTCGCGCAATAAATACAAATGAGAGAACTTTTTGTATCAATTACCCATGTAGAAATAGTCAGGAGTTTACTATTCTAAACTCATTCAGGAAACCATCATCCCGCTGAATCTCACCCGTTAACTACTGATTGCATCAACGGTTCCTATCCACGATCTGAGTCACTAGAAAATGACCAATATTCAATTTCCTTGTATACAAATATATCAACTCATAACAACACCGTTGACTCACTGCCATTCGATCAACGGCTAAAAGTAGTAATCCGAGTCTCTCGATGTCCACCAATCACATTCAATCCGCGGTATCCTATATAAACTCAACCACAACCTGAACATCCTATCCAACTCTCAACAAATTCGTTGAATTCCCCTCAAGTACACTTTACACTTTATCTCCATCAATGGCACCAAAGGCGGAAAAGAAGCCGGCGGAGAAGAAACCAGCCGCCGAGAAGGCACCGGCGGAGAAGAAGCCAAAGGCAGGGAAGAAGCTTCCGAAGGATGGCACCGCTGCCGCTGGAGACAAGAAAAAGAAGCGCTCGAAGAAGAGTGTGGAAACTTACAAGATCTACATCTTTAAGGTGCTGAAGCAGGTTCATCCTGACATCGGGATTTCGAGCAAGGCTATGGGGATCATGAACAGCTTTATCAATGATATTTTTGAGAAATTGGCTCAGGAGGCTTCTAGGCTAGCAAGGTACAACAAGAAGCCGACGATTACTTCTCGAGAAATTCAGACCGCTGTCCGATTGGTTCTTCCTGGAGAACTGGCAAAACACGCCGTGTCTGAGGGTACAAAGGCTGTTACCAAATTCACCAGCTCCTGAATTTATCGTCTATTAGGGTTTTCCTTTGGGCGTTGTTATGGTTTGAATTAATGGTTTGCCAGGTTTCTGGCGAGTAATTCTGAATGTAAAGAATGCTTGAATTTAATTTCCTATGATTTTATGTCATTGTCTCATTTTTATGATTTATTGATCAACATTTTTAAGAAAAATGATTCTATCCGGATCCCATTGTTTGCGAATGGAATTCGTTTCGAGTTCTTGGAATTGGAATGAATTATTGTGCTTAATTAATATCAGACTGACCATTACCATCAAAGATTAAAAAAATACAAATGAAAGATTGTTGTTCCTGCAACAACTGCTTATTACTTGGCTAGCCAAAATTTTAAGATTTCAGTGATTAGTTAACAACATGGAAGGTAAGAAATAGATAACCTCTCCAGTTTAACTATTGATTTTAAGGTCTTTCTAGTAGAAAATCATCTTCAACGTTACTATAGTAGCCAACTTTAATAATTGTTACTTTTAACAATAAAGCCAAGAAATTTCCTCCAATTATGATAGAAAAGAAACATGTAATAGCACTTTATTCATGTAGAAATGACATCAAACGTTGAAGTGATACTGATACAACATGAAGATTGGAACCCATAAAGTAACTCTCACGAATTAGGTGAACCTCAATAATGGATCAAACTTTACACAAACAACAATTATTAAGGGCTAACTGTAATTTTATTCAAAAATTTTGAACTTCGTGTCACTATTTTTGGTCACTTCTGCCCGACTACTTGTTCTTGGAAGATTTGTTGACAAGGGAAACCTAGACAGCAAGTGAGTATTAGTAAAGGATGTGCCACAAAGGTCACAAGCCAACCTTAACGAGGTCCTCGAAAAATCAAGTCCCTAACTCCGTTGATGTTAAGAAATGAAACTCACATTCTCACCATTAGTGGACATAAATATTGCAACTTACCCCTCCACTCCACCCCCAAGATGTGATTATGTGCTCGAAGCAAGTTCGTAACAAGAGGTCTGAGATCAAAAGCAAGATGGCTTCGGTTCTCAAGACGTTTTTGGCTTGACAAGTAAACTCTATTGCAAAACTGGTTAGGGGATCCCTCAGCGAAAAAGATCCTTAAATGAACATGCCAAAATACATTTTTACCTTCTGATATGCAGTATGCACAAAATCTACGACCAGATAGCTTAATGCTAAACAAAGATCATCATTGAGTAACCAGTCACCTAGGGGACCTCATAAATTCCAGGTAAACTTGAGCCGTAGGGAAAGAATCTTGTTTACCAGGAAAAACGAGATACTGCAAATTAACCAACATGTTCATGAAGTGCTTCCTAAGAGAGAGCAAGAATTTGTGATCCTATCCATCTTTCCAGTAGTTTTTATCCTTGGACCTCCACAATAATTTGCCAGAGCCAAAAGAATAACTTTTATACTAATTCTAGGCTGCTTAGTTACGGGGGGAAATATTATGAAATAAAACCTAGCAAACATAATTTTGATACGGGCAAGGAATATGACAAGTAAACTTTGCTGTAAACTAAAAAGGGAGGGGACAATCAAAATGGGAATGGAATTAGGAAACAGAGGAACGCATCCTTCAAATGGATATTGCATGTTTAATCATATAACTCTGTAAAGTGTTCAGAATCTACCATTATAAAACAGATAAATCATAAAAGCCAACCAGCACCTATATAGCACATTGAAAGCAAAACAGCGTCGTAAATGGGAAAATATAGTTAGTGCAGATCTCAATTTGATGAACTCCAAGGAGATGCACAGAAGTAATCAAGAAAAGAGGAGACAAAACAATTTGGCACAGTTAGGGGACCATCTTGTTTAAATGAAAAAGGGTGAGCATCTTGTATTTCATAAAAATTGGGGGCAATATAATCCTTACGTAAGGGCCATCCTATCCAACTTTAAGGCGTTAGTCCAATCCGTATGAGTGCTAGTTATTTCAAGCTCTAAAACGCTAACAGTGCAGTAAATGTTCATTCCACCCCTAGAAAAGCGTTTGAAAGCAGTCTGTCGGTCTCAGTCTTGGGCAAACCAGTACGGTTCCTTTATCTTTTAGATTAGATAGTGGCATTATGTAGAAAATGCATGTGCAAAGCAAATCAGAGTCTAATAAATTCTAAAAGAATTCTTAGTGAAATTCAAAATCAATCAAATGAGACCAGATGAAATTACCATTTTTTCTGAAACCAGCAATTACAAAAATATTTTTCACAACGGAGACTCAAAATTTCCATCCACCTCATCTACGACCAATCGACTTTATTATGATAAACAGGACAGATCTGCGTGACAAACTAAGTCAGGTACCCTCCAACCACAAGCATTCACCCACCCGTATACAATAGCACATATGTTCATGTCCATGCACAAAAAACATTAATTACACCAGAAAACTAAGAAACTTCTCAAATGTTGGAGGTAAAAATGGAGTACATACCAGCATTATATATAAATGACAATCTTTCGCTTATGATCAGAATAGTTCCAAATTTTCAGAACTTTTAGACATAAATAACTACAATTCGTCCTACAGATTAAAGCAGGTATTGTCTGGTCAACTGACTCTTATACAGTATCACACCAGGCAAGCATCATGGCTTAGTTACCTTTGGGCTTGTTCAATTTGCAAATGAATAGGAAAAGAACACAATGTCATAATCAACCGACTTGCAAGCTGACAATGTAACGCTTTTCCTTGAGTTTCCTCTTTTTCATAGTAAATTTGTCCTAGTTGAGAGGTGAACGTTAACTCTTAACAAATCAATTGACGTTCTAAAATTAGAAGAAACAAGCTTCAAGCTTACACCAATATCCAAAGGCAATCAGGAATAGAAAAGCAAATGCCAATGCCAAAAAAGACCACAAAAGTTGAGAATTATACAAAAGAAATTTATATTACTCACCCTATCCATCTCTACAGAACTAATTCAACACGACCGGTTAGCACACACTTACTGCACCCAAAAAAATCACAAAATTAGGAGTATAAGCAGCTATTTGCAGTAGTCAAATAGGAAAGTATCAATACAGAATGCCAACTGTGAGTTGCTGAATAGATAACCAACAAAGAGGCTGAGGAATAACCTACAAAAAGGAACTGCAAAGGAATTTCAAGTTTTCTTCTCAAAACTATGAACTACTTCATCAACAAATCAAATTTTCCATGCAAATGAATAGTAACAACTTTATTAAAGGCAAGATTTAAATAACATGAGCGAACACCTAGTTTGGGGAAACATGAACAATTCAGTCAGCAATACAGTAAATATGAATTAAGATTTAAGATAGAATTTGATTCGCCGGTCGCAAATGAAGCTTACTAGAGCATTAAAAAGAATATCCAGACAACGCCGGTCTACAGAGACACAGTATCAGATATCGGAAAGAACAGAAATACCATTCATGAGTCAATCTAACATCAGTTACACTACGTCCATTCCACAACTAACAAAATATTCTACACCCACACAAAAAAACCTAGTTTTAAACATACACATCACTCAAGAACGGAAATGTTAAATCCTAATATCAGAAACCCTAACAAATCAGCTTTTCAAGAGCTGGTAAACTTGGTAACGGCCTTGGTACCCTCAGAAACAGCATGCTTAGCCAACTCCCCAGGAAGCACCAATCTCACAGCAGTCTGGATTTCCCGAGATGTAATCGTAGGTTTCTTGTTGTACCTGGCAAGCCTGGAAGCCTCTTGTGCCAATTTCTCAAAGATATCATTGATGAAACTGTTCATGATGCCCATGGCCTTGCTCGAAATACCGATGTCAGGATGAACCTGCTTCAGCACCTTGAAGATGTAGATCTTGTATGTCTCAATGCCCTTCTTCGAACGCTTCTTCTTCTTGTCTCCGGCAGCCGCGCCATCCTTGGGGAGTTTCTTCCCAGCCTTCGGTTTCTTCTCCGCCGGAGTCTTCTCAGCAGCGGGTTTTTTCTCTGCTGGCTTCTTCTCTGCCTTTGGTGCCATTTTTAGTTGAACGATCGCTCGAGTATTTTTGGAAATTTAATAAGGTGCAGCGAAATTGGGGATTTGGTTGTGAGAGGAGAACGACAGAGGTGGAGAATTATATAGGAGGTTGAGATCGAGCTGATTGGTCTAATTGGAACGATGTGGATCTAGCATATGAGCGGTTCATTAGTTTCGCTAATCAACGGTTCAGATTTCAGCTTGAAAATTGCTTTAGAATTTGAACTTTTTGGAGGGTTTTGCTTGCTTTTGGCGGTAGTTTGAAAAGGAAAGCACGTGGAATAAGCTATCGTGCACCGGGTGTATGTTGAGCCTATTTTTGTCGAAAATGTAATTTGGCATAATATTTTAATAGATAACATGTTGTTAAAATATAAAAATAAATTTACATATAATATCATTTTATTGAAAAATGTATGATTAAAAATAAGAGAAAAAAGAACTGTATTTTAAAAATAATGCGGATATAACAACATCTAAACTTTTATGTTAAAATTTCCTAGCCTCCATTTGAAAAAAGCTTATATCATTTTAACTTTAATAAAAATGATGAATAAGTGAATAGTATTTATTATATTTGGACAACGGAATCGTCAAATCTTAAAATCGAATCGAAATCGTTTTTTCAAAAAAGTTGGTTTGAATTTACGTGAATCTATCAACGTTTTGATTTTAAACAAAACCAAACGGTTTCAAAGTGACTTGGTTTAGATTTCAACATTTACAAACCATTTCAAACTTCCAAATCATTAAAGAAAATCTGAAATATATTAATTTAAATGTTATCCAATTCAATTAAAATTAAACACATCCAAATTAAAAAGACACGTGCATATTAGACATAATTCAATTAAATCCAATAACTAACTAGAAAATTATCCATCCTAATTAATTAATTAACTTATAATCAAATACCCAACAATCATCACAAATGTGAATGCAAAAATCTCAAAGTGAATGAAGTGTTTAAAGAATTGTTGTTGAATCATATTCATCGACCCCTAATTACGATTAAATAGACAATTAAATCTAGATCTTAATTCGAACTCAAACATTTATTATTATTATTATTATTTTGCTAATAATCTTTCAATTTTCGGCTAAATCTTCAGGTAAAATTATCCAATTATTCTTATTTTTGGTAATTATTTGCTATATTTTATTGATAATTGTATTGTTTTGCTATGTCGAGCTCCCTTAAATTTTTTAGCAAACAACATTTTTTATTTTTTTACGTTTCGGTTTCCTGATTAGGTGACTCAATTAATTATTTACATTTTAACTTAATTTTTAGATTTTACTGTTAATTGCTAGATTTAATGAATTAGTTGAATGGTCATTTTGAAGATTTGATGAGCCTTTCGACATATTAAATTGATTAAAATTTAATGCAAATAAATATAAAATTGTCTCCCAAATTATTAAACTTGTGTTAGCTATTCAAATATCCACAATTATTTTTTAGTTTTCACTCATTATTAGTGATCAAATTTTTTATTCTTTTAGGAGTTCATTGATTACAGATATGGTTGAGTGGTAGTTTACCCTTAGAATTGGTTGCATGGTAACACGGAACCTAGAGCAATTCATCAATTTTTGGATGAGGTAAAAGCATTCGACGATTCAAGAAAAGTTGGAAAAAGTAATATTGTATTCAATCTTTTTATTCATGTTATTGTATTAGTTATTCTATACTACTTAACTATAACCAATGAATTCATATACAATATTCTTATTCTTATGGAGGGAATGAATCATGTGTTACAATTGTAGATTTTGCATCAATTAATATCCATCGAGAAATTAAAATATGCCAATCATAATAGTATATTATATGTATTAGAATTATAGAACTTTAATTTGTAATATTTTTAAAGTGAAATTTTAGACTATATATAAGTCAACATCACATGATGTCTAAACCTTTATTAGATAGCATGTAATTGTAATTTATCAAAAAAAAAAAAAAAAAAAAAAAAGAGAGAGAGAAAATATCATTAATTTCATTATCATTTTAATTGTCCATTTATGGTGACTATATTTTTACATTATTATCAATTAGGTATTAAATTTTCACTTTTTCTACTTATACTTTAATATGATTTCAACACGTAACTACACTTCAATTCGATTTCAATTAAAGTAATTTCGTCTAATTCTACTAAGATCATAGCAATTCCAACATCGTCGAGAAATGATGATTATGAAACGTAAGGCCATCTCTAGCACTGCACCAAATTTTGCGCCAAATTAAAATTCATCTTCGACCATTACACCAAATGAACAGTGTTTAACCATTTTCTTCCCTATTTTATTCTTTATAATTTATTTATTTGAAATATTATTTAATTATTTTATAAATACATAAATTACTAAATAAATAATTACGTTAAATTAAGGAAAAGATTACATTAATAAAATATAAAAAAACATAGTACAAATAATAAAAACACGACAACAACAAAAATATTAAATCATGCCATCAAAAAATAGTACAATGTATTTCAAATTTGGATAGATGATATTACGAAGTCGCAAAATAAAATTAGATTATCGCATGTATATCATTGTTTAATATATTTCGTGTTAACTGTAATAAATTAACGTGTTTGTTATATTTTAATTTTTTTCTTCTTTTAATTAATTAATTTATTATTATTTCTTACATTTAAAATTTATTTTAAATGCTAATAATAATAATAATTTATTGTATTGAAAAATATATAGCACAATTGACACAAATATCCTTAACAATTTTATTTCGGAAATGATAAAAAAAGGTAATATAGACTTTATACACTTTGTACCATTTTGCACCAAAATGGTGTAAAGCATAGTGTTGCATTGGAGCAATTTTGCACCAAAAAATAGTGCAATTTGGTGATTTGGTGTTACTATTAGAGTTACCCTAATGATTAGTTGTTGGTATATAATAATTATAATTGCATTGAAATAAATGTCAATAATCATTATTAATTGTCAAATAATTGATTTTCAATATTTCAAATGACGAAATTAGATGAAGTCACTCGATTAAATAAATTACAATACACTAACTTGATTGACTCTGGACAAGTAAAAAATATACTGTGGTCTTGTTTGGTACCTATTTTTTCAAAACATATTTTTTCTTTTTTTCAACCATACATTCTTCATTAAAATAATATTACAAGTAAATCAAAAACTTTTCTTTATTTTTCAACCACACATTTTTCATCAATTTACTATTTTAAAATACATTTTTACATAAAAATGGCTCACAAACACCTTTTATAAATAGAATTTACCCAAGATTATGCAAAAATGACAAATTGCACGTAAAGAAATTCAGATACATTGAAACGTTATTTGCCCACAGACAGGCCCAACTTCTATTTCAAGGGCCAAGATTTTCTATTTTTCTTTTTGGAAGAAAATTCACATTTAACATGGCCCCTATTTGGACTCCATTATTTCAGAAATAAATTTTTTCCCCTCGTATGTTCAATTTCACAATCTTCAATATAATAAAATTACATGTAAATTCAAAATCATTTCTTAATTTTCAATTGCACGTTCTCCAAAAAGTACTATTCCAAAATAAAATTCCCAATTTTTTTTATCAGAGCCCGAATAGGGGCATAATAATAATAAACTGGAAAAAATCAAATTGTCCCAACTGATGCCATGTATTGGGTATTCTTCATGTTGTAATTTTTACAAAAATTATGGCAAGGCTGCATTGTCTGAGATTTTTTTCTAATCGATGAAGGATTGCTAATTTTAGTATCATCCATACCAATAATTGAATAATTGAATGAACAGTTTAACTTTTGGGACCTTAACCAGGAAGACTCTCTCTCTCTCTCTCTCTCTCTCTCTCTACTTTGTTGAATATATATGTATATGCAAATATCAGACATCTGATTTGAAATTAAGCATAAGTTTATATTGAAATTTGTCAATCTCGTTTGTTATCACTGTACTAGGTTTTCTTCCTGTCCGCATTTTGAAACATGTCTTGGGCCAATCAACCAGTACTTTTTCAACTGATTTGTGCGGTATAGAGTGCAACCTCCTTTATAGAGCCTGTTTGGAAATAATTTTGAGAATTGATTTTTTGATTGTTAAGAGAAAAGTGGAGTCCACCTGTAAGAGAAGAAGTCAAATATGACGGCTAGAATAGTGAAATAACGGTCAAAAAATCAATTTTTTGGATGAAAAAATCGGGCCCAAACAAGCTCTCAGTAAAATAGAACGAAATTAATAAATTATCTCGACCGATGAAAGTTGATTGAGTCAAAGTTAATTTATTAGTGCTTAGTTTAATTGGATCCGATTTTGTCCATTCGTTGGCTTTAGTATAAGAATTGAACAAATTATAAGGGTCATAACTAATTATTAACTATGGTAGAATTAATTAAGTAAACATGGAAGTGCCACGCATGTGTCATTCATATATGGATATTTTGATTTGGATTATAACTAAATGGAAGTCATTTTAGGTTCTGGAAAGTCCTTATCTATAATACAAGTTTAATGTCCGTGCATGTGGTATTTTCTAGGTAATGTTAGCATCAAATATTAATGGGAAGTTAAATCGTTCTAAAAGTTTATTAAATTTTCGCATAAATATTATAGAAATTGGCATAATGATTAGTGAAATTGTATAAGGATAATATTCAATTAAGATTAACATGAAAGAAAACATGTGATTTTATTCAAACATAGTGAACATGCTTCAATGAAATGCCAAGTAAATAGTTTCAGGTGCACCTGAAGACTAACCTTATTTGTACTTTGCATTGAAATGGTTGTTGCTACCTCAGCATAGGTATTATATTTCTCAAAATTGAATCTCTCATGAAGCTGAATCCGAACCTCCTCAATTGCCCCAATTATGGGGAAATTTTGAAGGGAAGAAGGAGAGAGATTCTGTCTCGTAGTTAAAGAGAAGTTGCGGTTTGTGAAAACATTTCACCTTATTGATCTATTTATTGTTCAAGGCACAAATTCGATATTAATAAGGACGATAAAATGATGAAATAACAGAGCACTTGGAAGTATCAAACCCACATTATTTACAGTACCAGTACTGTGAAAGACTTT